GTGAATATCTGCAGTCCATGGTGTACTCTCAGCATAGTATCAAAATCATGTTTTGTCTCCCCCTTCTGGATAATTAGAGGACAGCATCTTCAGTAAATCCCAAATGCTATAGCACCACCCTCAGCACAGCATCTCTTTATCTTTTATTCTAAGGTACAAAATACAAAAGATTGGGAGACTATGGATCCTGGTTTCCACCTCTGAAAAAATAAAAACAAAAATAAAACAAATAAACTGCAAGCTATAAGTAAAATTTATTATCTCAAGATTTCAACATACTAACTGAAACATCTTGGGAAATATAGAAAATAAGGAATAGAACGTGGAATTTGCTGTCATTAAATACTTTTTTTTTCAGTGGCAGAAACAAGCTGCCAAGAAGACAGAAGTATATGCTGTTAAAAGAAATTATGAAGATGGACTGGGTGGGTTCTATTTTTGCACCTATAGAAACTTTATAACTAATTTTGTAAATAAACTGCACTAAATAATGAGCTTACACAAATATATATTGCACATTAATAAGCACAATAATATTGGTATTAATATGATATATCCGTCTTTATCGCCGGGGGAAGGAAAAGGAGTTTACTGAGCAGGCCAGGTCAAAGTAAACATGTTTTACAACTTGTCTTGGCTTCATTTTACCATAGCTTACTTTACAGTTAATTTGTATCACAGAAAAAAAGAAACTAGCTAAAAAAAAAAAATACAGGATATAAAGCATGCCATGTCGAGAGATTCACTTTAGGGTTGGACCATTAACTGTTATTTTAAGAGAGTAGGTTATCTTCCAAAAGGTTTTAAAAACAAGATACAGGAAATTCCAGTACCTCTTGCCCCTGCTTAAAAATGATAACAAAGGAGACTCCAATCCAGCCCACTCAGTTTATAAAAAGTGAAGGAGTGCTTTTTGAACTTTTAATTGTATTTTCATACCTTTTACTTGATCCATCCATACAACATCAAAGTACACTGACGTTTTCTATGAGTTAGTATAAACTTCATATTTTAATTTATACTAACAGGACAGTCTGAGCGGCCATAACACAATGAGGTTTAGTTCAGTTCACACTTATTTTTTATGCCAGAGGGGCCGATGGCGCGATATGGCAG